AAGGTCATATTTGGTATCTTTTTTATTTATTCCTCATCTGCTATAAAGTATTATTTCAGAGAAATGTCTACGGCCTGATGCTTTTTTCTCTTTTTCTTTGCATGTATCTTTATTGAGAAGATTCTTTAGTCCAATTCAGCTCCATCATTCTGTGTTTTTGTTTTTTTGTGTTTTTTTTTTAATAGTTTTGACTTGTATTTACTGAGTGTTTTCAACTGATTATGCAGGTTATTATTTAGCTTTAAGTTTTAATATATTTGGTGGATTATTATATTTCTTCTCTTTGTCTTAGTCTCTTCATCAACAATATACTTGTCATCCATATGTTGAAAATAACTGTCTTTAATTTCATCATCAACTCTATTTGTGGTAGTCATCTTCAGTATTTAAGCCTACCACATTTGAATCATAATTCTAAGCCTACCAAATTGGACCCATAATTCCTGATTTGAATTTTATGTTTCTGACTCACCATATCTAATGTTCTTTTGAATTATACGGCTTTATAAATGACCTATCTTTCTTCCATACAGCTCCCTTACTGTGTTATTTGCCATGTTAGCATTTATGCTAATTCCTATGCTGCAGGAATAAATCACCAACCCTGAAATCTCTGTAGCTCCAGGAAACAAAAGTATATGTTTCTCATGTTACAAATTCATCCCAAGATGACGTGTGCTCTGCTCCACGCAGCCACGTGGTGATCCAAAGCTGACGGAGCCCCACTGTTATTTACCAGCGCCATCAGGGAGTTGCCCCGTTCTCAGTCACAACACTATGATTTAGCTTTTCTTACTCATTGGCTGGAAGAAGTCACTTAGCCCACCAAACTGTCTGTGCCTGCAAGGAGAGGAGAACCAGATATGAGTGAACATTAGGAGTTCCTACCAGAGAGTTTATGGAATCAGTGGTTATTTTTCAAAATTGTTTTGAGTGTATAAAGCAGATACTATCTCAACTTTACCTGTGTTTTTGGTGCTATAATTTTTTTCAGATGTATGATTCTTCTCTTCCTGTGGTTTTGTCAGGATCTAGAAGTCAGAACGTAGAATATTGTGCTTTAATTGTAGTTAATGTATTATAATAGACTAAAATAAGATTTATATTATATAAAACACTTACAGACATCTTACATCGTTTTCCAAGATTGAATACTAGCCATTTGTCTCCTACACCTTATTGGGTATTCTCATCACTCCCTGATTTATTTGAATTGAAGGATCATCTTTTGATACTAAATTTTCATTTTTTAAAAAATAACTGCTAAGGAAAGGCATTACCTTTTTTTTCTGAAATTTCTTTACTCTTTACATATATTTAACCTTCAAGTGAATTTTAGAATCATTTTATCAATCTAAACTAATATTTCTTTAAAAGATGTATAAAATAGATTCACTTCATCAATATTATGCATGATTAGTAGAAAGCCTTAGATTTATATTTTGAGGACTCAGATTCCTGGGTTCTAATCTCAGCTTTGCCACTTAATAGCCATTTGACTTGGGAAAATACTAGGCTCTATGTCTCAATTTCCTTAACTGTAAAATGGGGATAATAACATTGTCTACCTTTTATGAAGATGAGTTGAGTTAGTATTTGTAAAGCTCTTAGTACATAAGAACTTTACCAAACACATACATGGTAAGTTTTTGTGTTAGCAAATTGCTGGAATACAATAGAAATGTGTGTGGTTTTTGAGTATACTGTATAAAGAGAAATGCAGTTTTTCACAGAGGAGAGAAATAACAGCATGCGCGAATGTAGGCGGGGTCATTTTTTCTGGTGTTGGTTATTAGGGTGGATGGCCTGTCACTGTACCTCATGTGATGTGTGAGGTCATCCAGGATTAGAGCATTAAAATTCCGTCAGGGGACCCATGTATTCTTGGGGAAAGGCTACCCAATGCCTATCCTCAAAGCATTGATCTTCACAGTAGAACTCACCTCTAACAGTCTGTAAGTACTTGGACCTAGCAAAGATAAACTTTGGGTTGTGATTTTTTTATTTTTTAGCCCAAGATAGTAGTTCATTAAAAAAAAATAGTGTGTGCAGGCTGTCATACATATTATTCTGAATATTTTACTTTTGTGTATGTTTGTTAGGGTATTCTAGAAATTTTATGATTGCAATGTTGTTTGAATGTAGATTTTTTTAAAAATTGGACTTTATATTTGAAGAATAATGAAATCTGCAAAGGAATAGCAAGATCTGATAGTGTCTGTTATAAATAATGTTAAAATATGGAGATGTGTGAACTGAAATGAGTGTATCTACTATTTACATGGCCAACCAAAGCATCATATGAGTCACCTCATTTTAAATGTTAAGAATCCCTTGCCTTCCGCTGAAATGGCAAGTATAGGAGATGAACTATTATTGCAGTGCTAGCACAGAGCAATATACTTTTTTTATTACAGAATCAGGGAACAATCCTTTGAGATTCGTATTTGTAGTAGAATGGAGTGAGTTTTATTGATTTGTTATTTCATTTAAGACATCATTTTGCCCTCTTGCTCTCTTGTAGTATGAGTGTTCAATAAGTAATATATTTTTTTCTTGTCCATTTGACACCTAAGAATTAGTTTGGCCCAAAATAAGCCCGGTGTTTCCACGACCCACTGTCTGGCTTCTTTGCTGATTTGCATAAGAGCTGTAAGAACTGGTCTTCTTAATGGTTTTATGTGATGTGAATTCAGGTTGTGATATCACGGGTCTGGGATCACTGGCTGAATGCCCTTCATGAGTGTAATGCTATGGACATGTGCTTCTCCTATTGTCCCTGGCTGACGTGCGATGGTGGTGGCAGACCCTGCCTGTTGTGTGTGCCTGGTAACGATCAATCAGATCCACCTTGGAATGATGATCAGTGGCTGAGCCTGTGAGGCTGACAGCAACCAGATGTAAAAGCAACGTTGCAAGTAAGATGCTCATTTCATGGTCTGGTTCAGACGGGAGCATGGCTGTGACACATTTTCGCAATCAGGGAAACAAATGACAAGACGTGTCTTCCCAGAGAGGGTTATTTATATATATCATCAGTGATTCCTTTTGGTTTAATTAGAAATATGAGCAACATCACTTTTAGATGGTTTTAGTAGGCCTAAAGCAGGAGGGCAGAGGATATGATTTTAAAGGCATGTAGGATTTCTGCTGGTTCAGACTTTTACTCAGAATAAAGTTAGGAAGCATCCTTGGTCATCTCCTGAGGTTCACGTCTCTGTGAAGCTGCCATGTTCTGTGGTGAAGCAGCCTAGACGGAAATGAATTAAATGGGAAGGATCACACCTTTTCTCCTGTCAAGATTTCCATTCCCCCATCTTCAAACCTTTCTTCAGGTGGGAGCTTTGATTTTATGGAGAAGGGGATGTGACTTGCTATGCATGGACTGCATTAAGCTTAGAGCTTAGATTTTTGCTGTCAGCTGACAATTTCTTGGGAAGAATATGTTCATTTTCATTCTTAGCATCTTTCTTAGTCCTCCTGTACCACTCTTATAAGAACACACTTTGCTGTACTCTGTACTTGACCCCTAGCACAGCTTGACCCAATTGGAAGAATAGGATTGAGTACAACACATGTACATCTCTTCAAAGATGTATCCGTAATGGAGGGCCTCTCTAGGAGCCTCCTTATTGTAGAGCATCCTTCATTTCCCTATACAGGTAGCCAGTGTTGGATTTCTACTTGAGATCTCCAATTTAACCTGATTCTTAAAGGGGCCCTGGCAGTATAACTTTAAAAAAATAATGTATACTGTTCTTCAGTTCCCAAATAGCACTTTTGAATAAAACATACATTTTGAAGCTACACAGTGAATTTGAAATAATTCTCATTAGCTGTTTAGTTGTTTGTTTGTTAATCCTCATGCAAGTATATTTTTCCCATTGATTTTTAGAGAGAAGAAGAGAGGGAGATAGGAAGCATCCTTAGGAAGGAGAGAGAGATAGAGAGAGATAGAGAGAGAGAGAGAGAGAGAGAGAGAGAGAAAGGAGAAATATTGATTTGAGAGAGACACATCAATTCGTTGTCTCCTGAATGCACCCCAACCGGGGCTGGGAATCAAACCTGAAACGCTCCATTGTGTGGGTTGATGTTCTAACCATTGAGCTCATGGTCCTATAATTAGGTTTTAAATATATAAATACCTTAGATCATGGCTCCAACATTAGAATTCTTTTTTAATTACTCAAGGGACTTAAAAATAGATGCTCAAACATGCCTGGTAATGCAAAGCAGAGAGGGCAGACAGAAAATGCACATTCAGGTATTAAGGAAGAAATCATTATCTTTGCTGTGAATATCCACCTGTATTTCATATGTTGTTTACCAATATTTTAAAGGTCTACACATCTTCCCAAACTGTGAAGACATTGAAGTAAAAAGATAATTGAAATAGGGACTGTTAGTAAGAGGTCTCCAATGCCAGGTCAATAAGTATTATAATCATCTATTATTTTTATTAATATTGGTTTACAGATACTATTTAGCCATTAATGGGCTCTTGGTCTTGCCTTGGGTTCCATGTTTATATTTGATGGCATTTATTGTTTGTTTCTAATCTAAAAGATCTATAGTCATGCAAAAAAACTTTGGAAAATATAGACAACAAAATATTAATGAAAAGCACTTGTAATGAAATGATATATGATGGCATTTGCTTCAAAATAATTTTGGGTGGGAAATGAGGAGGGGTCTTGATGCAACTATATTGGCCATGAAAAGTTTCAGGTACCAGAAGTTTATTGTGTTTACTTTAATTCTTTATCCTTTGAAAAGCTCTATAAAAATTGAAAAGAAAAGAAAAATCCCTAGTCCCACTTTTCAGAAATAACAATTCCCTCTGCGGTACATATGCATATTCACAAAAACCATACTTACCACTTTCATGTACTAATACTTTATTTAAACAAAATTGGACCACCCGTTGGTGGGGTGTCCAAAACAGTCTTCAGTGGAGACTGAGGTTGCGCTTCTGAAATGCCCTTGGCAAGCTCATGTGCCGAGTGTCCATTTGAAATCTGCTGGGTTGTCATTGGATGGTCAGATTGGGTAAGTGAAGCCATGGTAGTTCTCTTACTCATTTGGGGAGATTTGGCTCCCAAACACCTTTAACTGCTATGTACACTGACACTACACTGTGGTTAAAACTTAGAATGTGCTTGTTTAGACACAACTTAGCTATTTTCTGTAGGATGGGATGTGGGGGAAATATTGAAAAAGCAGGGGAGGTTACCCCTCTGTAATCCTCCCTTCCTTTATACTATTCCCTCTTCCTCCTGTTAGGGTCACCAGAGGAAAGCACAAGGCCAAAGTGGTAAGGGATTATACATTTATTAGGTCATCTGGATACCAGATGGGCTGAGCCCTAAAATGGCACCAGCACCCAGGGACAGGGAGTCAGAGATTTTAACACTAGAAAGACTGAAATTTAGTATATACCTATATTGCCCAAAAGCCGTCAAAATGACTGCATTGTGAAAGAATAACTAATGTGCAAAGAAATTTGTTTAAAATTAATTTTTAATATTTTTATATTATTTCCAGTTATATAACAAGTTATTTGACATTTCTTTCATGAATTTAGGGCGCAAAAGAAATAAAATATTGTTCATAACATTTCTTCCACAGCCTGTATATGGCTCGACAAGTTTCAGAACAACATGTTCACTGAGAAGCATTGATGATGGTTGTTGTTCATCTTTCCCCAAATAAGGAAAACCATTCAAAACATATTTGCTACTAACATCTGATGCAAGCCAGAATTTGATGCCAAATTTGTTGGGTTTATTAGGCATATACTGTGTAAACCTGCACCTGGCTTTTGACGGAAATAATTGCTCGTCAACTGTTACATTTTGCCCTGGTTGATAGCAAGCTTGACTATTTTCAATGAACTTGTCCCATATTTCCGAAACCAAGGCAAACTTATTTATTTGTAGGTGCCTACTTCTTTTGGTTCTTTTATCAAAACGAATAAATCGTAGGATTTGCTTGAACTTTGCTCTGGCCATAGTTTTTCTAAAAAATTCGG